AAAGGGGGTGGAGAATAAGGGTGGTGGGGAGTAAGGGGTTGCGCGACAGTAGTGTATATAACCATAAAAGGTTTAAAACGGATCACATCCCTAAGTATTCGCTTAGCCAAAAAGGTACTAATAAGGCTCCAAGTATGTTACGTGATGAACCAACCATGGGGTAACACAGCATTCTTAATCTAAAATCATTTTTTCACACCTGCCTAAAACGTTTACACAATAGTATGTTATATATTGCACATTCACATCAGATCCTGCCCTCGAGGAACTTACAATCTAAGGTCCCTGACTCACAATCTTCCATACACATACTAGGGCCAACCTAAACAGGAGCCAATTAACCCCTTGTCGCTGGCGCCTCCCGGCCCTTTAACCTCCTTAGCGGTAATCCCGAGTGTAGCTCGGGGTAAAATTTCTATACCAAGAGCGGTAACCCCGAGCTACACTCGGGCTTACCATGCGGCGTTGCTCTGGGGGTCCCGTCAGCACTTACCTTGTCCTTCGCTCCCGCGATCTCCTTCTGTGTTCCGGTCCCTGTGACGTCGGGACGTACAGGCGCCGGAACCGGCGGGAAATTTGAAATTTTTTAAAAAAATGTCATTTTTGCTGTCATTGCTGTTTCAATGCATTTCACATACATTTTGTCCCTACTGCTTTGTCCTGTGCCCTGCTTGCATTTTGAATGTTCTTTCTGCCTGGAAACTTAGAAAAGTCTATGGCGTCCAAAAAGCGTCCCTTTATGTCAAAACCGGTTTTAGAACAGCGATAGTAAATCAGAACCATTTGCAGAATTGAGTGATAATGATTCGTGGGGGAAATTCATCATCAGACACTGAAAACGATTTTGCGACTTTGCTCAGCGATGTGCGAATTTGCCTCTGTATTTCAAATTTCAGTGTTTTTGGTTTGATTACATTATTGAATTAAATTTATTATTATTATATTATTATTTTTTTATGATTATTTATTAAATTATAATTTATGATTTCGTGTTTCAAATTTTATCATACCCGGAATGTTTAATAGACTCTTGTTCGGACAGATTTCAGTGAGTTATTCCTAAAAATTACAGCCTACAAAAAAACTACATATTTCCATGCAAAAAAATGGTACCGCTTTCAGCACAAAAAATCGGAAAGAATCATACCGCCAAGGAGGTTAAGGGTTTCAGAAGCTGGGAGGCGGGGCAGGGTTTTAGGGTCATGTGACCGCCGTGATTCACCCTCACAGCGGTCACATGATCGGGAAAGAGGAGATCGGGACCTTTCCGTGAGTACTGGACATGTGTGCTGGGAGCGCACAGTGCGCGTGCTCTCAGCACATATGTTTTTCTTAATTGCACGCAAATGTGCGGCCGCTCGGCGTCTAGGCCCAGACGCCAGGAGGCCGCACATTTACGTGCGGCCAGCATGAAGAGGTTAACCTACCAGCCTGTCTTTCATCTTTCTGTAAAAGTGAAAAAAGTGAATGTTTTATAGATCATCTCCTCCATATCATAAAGCAGCCCTGTTATGAAGAATGTTAACACATTGTATCATGCTGTTTTACACACTCAGGAGGAGATAGGAAGCAATGTGGGAAGTCACAAACAGCATGACTTCAAGTGACTTTACCTCCTGACTCATTAGAAGAGCCAGTCAAAATACATAAAGATTGCCACAATGGCAAATGCATTTTCCGAAATAATCCTGCATAGATGTTATAGTTTAAAATTAAATATTCATGTTCTTGGATAAGCCCTATTGAGATTGTTTCTTTTCAAAGAAAACAGAAAAACACATTCACAGTGATTTCTGATAACTCCTTCTGACAATACTAATTGCTTGCCTGGCTTTAATCATTTCAGAGGCACTGACCGGGATAAAGTATGGGAATTACAAGTTTTACATTCACTTGCTTCATGCATACACCAGGGGCGGACTGACCATTTGGAAACTCGGGCACTGCCCAAGGGCCTGGGGTCAGTAGGGGGCCCCATGAGATGCCCCTGGTACCTTTTTCATAGGCTTTTTTGAGTTTGGGCAAGGACAGAGGGGCCCCATGATCCCCTATTGCCCGGGGGCCCCATGAGTTGTCAGTCCGCCCCTGACATACACCCTCCATCTCCTTCCCCATGACTTCCCCAGAGTAGAGCGTTAAGGCTTCAGCTGCCATTTCTGACCTATTACTCAAATTCAGAGTAATATAAGGACTTCTAATCCAAGTGACCCAGACAGTACTGAAGCCACTGGATCAGCATGGCAGCCAGGTAACTAATATTTTAAGAAGGAGAGGTCAACAACAGGATCCAACCAGTGCAGGCACTCTGAAAATGTGTATTTAGTACATACTGTATTTTGGATACAAACACAAAAGTGTCACATGCACTATAAATCCATGTGATAATGTATTATAATTTCATTCCCCCTTTGATGTATTTGTGATACATTCACTTTCCTGACAAATCTGGGTCCATCCAGCAAATTTAATTTATTTCTTTTCGGCCATGTGCTCCAGCTGCCATGCAGGGTATCTCTCTGCGGACTGCGGATCATGCATGTAATGGACTCGTCTCTTGTTAAACAGATCTAGTTTTATTGGTTTGTGTGGATGCTTTGTGAGGATTCTTTCAGCGGCTGTTCAGAGGCATCTGGAAACTCAGGAAGTGGATCAATAAGAATTGATTTTGCAGAGGACCCGGGGAGCACATTTAATAATCTCGTTTAGAGGTTGTGAAAAAACATTTGAATCGGAGGGCTGAAGAGAGGTATATGGGAAGGAAAGGTAGAAAAAAAACAACACCAGAGTCTAATTTAAGGTACCGGTGCTCAGAAACCAATCTAAAAACACACAAATGAATACTTGTCCATGGCGAAAAAGAGACATTTACTTGGAACAAATTGGATCAAAAAAATATATATAATATAAGGATATTTTATTACCAAATCCTTTAAAAAGACCCTGTCGCCGGACCATTCATTTCAACAATAATCTTTCCATAAGAGATTATGGGTATTTAATATATACTTTATATTCAGCATGTTATTTACCTCTAAAAGCATCCCTTGTGTAGACCTCCAAAAGCTGTGAGACTGCTGCTGGGTGCCAACATATTGGATGTAATGTCAACAACCCCAACAGACAGACAGGGCTGTCACTCTATAGTATTCCTCTACACTACTTTGGCAGCTATTTAAAAAGATATGTATGGGGGTAAAGGGGGAGCAGAGAAGCTTGGGCAGCACAGAGGATAATTGGACACTTCCAGAAGTGAGTCTGCCATTATGGGGTGGGTAGTTGTTAGTGCTTGTGTCTTGCAGCGAGGTCATTGGATCAAACGCTGGTCAGGACACTTACTGCATTGAATTTGCATGTTCTTGTGCCTTCATGATTTACTTCTGGGTACTCTGGTTTTCTCCCACACTTCAAAGACATGCTGGTATTGCTCCTGTGCAAATTGGCCCTAATTTGTATAATTTTGCATGTGAGAGAGGGACGCTAAATTGTAACCTGCTGTACATGAGGGGTTGTGGTGAAAAAATGAGTGTAGTTGTACTATGCTTTAGACAAACATGGCCTTCATTTGTTGTCAGTAGGTGTAAAATAAGCCCCTCTTCAGGAGTCAGTGATATAAACTCAACACTGTTGGTGTCAGTGAGAGTAAAGGACCATCATTTGCATGTGCTGGGAGTAAAATAAAACCAATATCACTGGTGTCATTGAGAGTCAAATAAATCCTACATCAGTGTCAATTAGATAAAGTAAGACCCATATCATAGGTGTTAGCAGGAGCAAAAATAAACATTGGTGTTCAGTGGTGACTTACCTGAATGTATGCTCCAACCCTACTTCTCTGCCTCTGCTAACTGGAACTACAGTATATTGTGACTATGCAGCAGATGATCATTTTGCTCAACAGTTGGTTCTGGCCCAACTGAAATGTGGCAGATCATTCCAGCACACCCCTCTGCCATTCTACCAAGAGTCCTGGTTCCTGTGGGACAGCCTGCGGGATGCATACATTGTGGGGGAAAGTTTCCAAACACTGGGACTGTCCTGCATTTTTATTCCAGATTTCCATTGTCTGCCAAGGACTTTTCAAATTATGACATTAACATACAGGCTGGTATGGGCTAAGCCTGCAAGTTGAATTACCATATTTTTCGCTCCATAAGACGCACCTAGATTTTGGAGGTGGAAAACAAGAAAAATAATATTCTGAACCAATGGACTGCAGACATAGTACAGGAAATGACCACAGACTGCGGATGTACTACAGGAGATGACCAGAGACTGCGGACATACTACAGGAGATGAACAGAGACTGCGGACACAGTACAGGAGATGACCAGAGACTGCAGACACAGTACAGGAGATGACCAGAGACTGCAGACACAGTACAGGAGATGACCAGAGACTGTGGACACAGTACAGGAGATGAACAGAGACTGCAGACATAGTACAGGAGATGACCAGAGACTGCGGACACAGTACAGGAGATGACCAGAGACTGCAGACACAGTACAGGAGATGACCAGAGACTGCGGACATACTACAGGAGATGACCAGAGACTGCAGACATAGTACAGGAGATGACCAGAGACTGCAGACACAGTACAGGAGATGACCAGAGACTGTGGACACAGTACAGGAGATGAACAGAGACTGCAGACATAGTACAGGAGATGACCAGAGACTGCGGACACAGTACAGGGGATGACCAGAGACTGCGGACACAGTACAGGAGATGACCAGAGACTGCAGACACAGTACAGGGGATGACCAGAGACTGCGGACACAGTACAGGGGATGACCAGAGACTGCGGACATACTACAGGAGATGAACAGAGACTGCAGACACAGTACAGGAGATGACCAGAGACTGCGGACATACTACAGGAGATGAACAGAGACTGCGGACACAGTACAGGAGATGATCAGAGACTGCAGACATACTACAAGGAGATGACCAGAGACTGCAGACATACTACAGGAGATGAACAGAGACTGCGGACACAGTACAGGAGATGACCAAAGACTGCGGATATAGTACAGGAGATGACCAGAGACTGCGGATGTACTACAGGAGATGACCAGAGGCTGCAGACATATTACAAGGAGATGACCAGAGACTGCAGACATAGTACAGGAGATGACCAGAGACTGCGGACATACTACAGGAGATGACCAAAGACTGCGGACATACTACAGGAGATGACCAGAGACTGCGGACATACTACAGAAGATGACCAGAGACTGCGGACGTACTACAGGAGATGACCAGAGACTGCGGACATAGTACAGGAGATGACCAGAGACTGCGGACGTACTACAGGAGATGACCAGAGAATGCGGACATAGTACAGGAGATGACCAGAGACTGCGAACATAGTACAGGAGATGACCAGAGACTGCGGACATAGTACAGGAGATGACCAGAGACTGCGGACATAGTACAGGAGATGACCAGAGACTGCGGACGTACTACAGGAGATGACCAGAGAATGCGGACATAGTACAGATGACCAGAGACTGCGAACATAGTACAGGAGATGACCAGAGACTGCGGACATAGTACAGGAGATGATCAGAGATTGCGAACATAGTACAGGAGACGTGAGTTTGCACGTTCACCCTGTGCCTGCATGGGTTTTCTCCAGGTACTCCAGTTTCCTTCTGCAATCCAAAGACATGCTGGTAGGGTAATTGGCTGCTGTCTAAATTGACCCTAGTATTTATATGTATGTACATGAGCTAAGGAACTTAGATTGTAAGCTCACTGGGGGCATGTTGGTAAGTTAATTGGCCCCTGTCTAAATTGGCCCTAGTATTTGTATGGATGCATGTGAGATAAGGGTCTTAGACTGTAGGCTCCTTGAGGTCAGGGACTGATGTGAATGTAAACTAAGTATTGTGCTTTGTGTAAACTGCTGACCATATATAAATATCAGTAATAAATTAATTTTGGAGTCACAGTTTATAATCTATGGAAGAAATATAGCTTAAATCATGCTACTCAAACTAATAATAATAATGGGTAGGGTTACACAATACTGGATGGGACAAGACTACCTTTTGCTAGATTATCACTCCCCCACCCAACTCATCTAAGCTGCCACTATTTGATCTTGCTATCTAGCAGTGCTGTTGTATCCTCAGGTATTTACAGTCTGTTGCAAAAAAATCTCTTTAGTGTTGGCCACCCCTGTGCACTGACTTGAATGAAGCCATATACCGATGATCTTCATATGTGGCCCCTTTCAGGTCTATATACACTCAGTAATTCTTAAAGTGAAAAAAGCTGGCTTCCAAAAACTCACTTATTGGCCCTTTTTTTTAAGTCTGCTTAAATTAGTTCAAAGGCCATGCAGTACATTATGGTTCTAAAAACTCTTCCAGGCAAATATTCACATAAATTCACCAGAATTGCAAATTTCAAACTATTTGTTCATGACCCTTGCAGATCCATGCTGTGTGACCACATGAACAGTGCAGCTATGGCTGGAAACTCTCATAGCCTTTCCTGAAGTCCTCTGGGCATTTGCATATAAAACCCCATTTCTTTCCTATGGAGAGACCATCCCATTATGTGACCCAACCAAACCAAGTCTGTGTCCAGCAGTGAGCTTCACAGTGTAGTAAAATTTTGGAGGGGATAGGGGAGTCATTTAAACATTATTAATAAGTATAATTATTCTTTATGTTATAGGTAAACTTTTTTTAAATCCGTATGTTCAACTGTCTGTGAAAAAATATCAACATTAATCTTGTTGAAGATGATACTTTTATTAAGCTGACGCCGACTCTTCCCTCACCCCTTTTAAGTATAAGACCTTGGGAGAGATTTAAAGGCTAACTTTATGTAGAGCTACTCCCATAGGAGCTGCAGGATTACTGTCCAGGTCTTCCCCAAAAGCATTGCCCTGCAGCCAGGCACATAGGCTCATTCACACGTTTCTTCAATGACCAGTCTAGGGATGTTATTTGTTGTTTTTATTTTTTGTTGACTACAGTGTGACACCTAAATTTACCTAGAATATGTTTTCCCACCTGATATCCTCAGAAAACACACCTACTAGTTTATAGCTACAATCCCCATAATGAAAATTGCTGGACCCTAAGTGGTAAAAAGCATGTTGTTCTGGGACTGGTGAAAAAAATGTATCTGCCCCTTACTGTGCACAAAGGCACAAGTTATCTAAGAATGGTTACATAGTTACATAGTTAGTCTGGCTGGAAAAAGACAAAAGTCCATCCAGTTCAACCATTAAAAAAAACCCCTTATAATCCTATACCCACAGTTGATTCAGAGGAAGGCAACCCCCCCCCCCCCAGCAAAGCACAAGCCAATTTGCTCCTGCAGGGGAAAAATTCCTTTCTGATCCCCCAAGAGGCAATCGGATATTCCCTGGATCAACTTTACCTATAAATGTTAGTATCCAGTTATATTCTGTGTATCTAGGAAATAATCCAGGCCCTTTTTAAAACAATCCACCGAGCTGGCCAGAACTGACTCTTGAGGGAGTCTATTCCATATTTTCACAGCTCTCACTGTAAAGAAACCTTTCGTGTTTGGATATTAAATTTCTTTTCCTCAAGACGTAAAGTATGCCCCTTGTCCTCTGTGATGACCTCAGGGTGAATAACTCTACACCGAGTTCACTATATGAACCACTGATGTATTTATACATGTTGATCATATCCCCCCTTATGTATTATACATGGTGATCATATCCCCCCTTATGTATTATACATGGAGATCATATCCCCCCTTATGTATTATACATGGGGATCATATCCCCCTTATGTATTATACATGGTGATCATATCCCCCCTTATGTATTATACATGGTGATCATATCCCCCCTTATGTATTATACATGGGGATCATATCCCCCCTTATGTATTATACATGGGGATCATATCCCCCCTTATGTATTATACATGGGGATCATATCCCCCCTTATGTATTATACATGGAGATCATATCCCCCCTTATGTATTATACATGGAGATCATATCCCCCTTATGTATTATACATGGAGATCATATCCCCCCTTATGTATTATACATGGGGATCATATCCCCCCTTATGTATTATACATGGAGATCATATCCCCCCTTATGTATTATACATGGAGATCATATCCCCCCTTATGTATTATACATGGTGATCATATCCCCCCTTATGTATTATACATGGAGATCATATCCCCCTTATGTATTATACATGGAGATCATATCCCCCCTTATGTATTATACATGGAGATCATATCCCCCCTTATGTATTATACATGGAGATCATATCCCCCTTATGTATTATACATGGAGATCATATCCCCCCTTATGTATTATACATGTTGATCATATCCCCCTTATGTATTATACATGGAGATCATATCCCCCTTATGTATTGTACATGGAGATCATATCCCCCCTTATGTATTATACATGGAGATCATATCCCTCCCTTTTGTATTATACATGGAGATCATATCCCCCCTTATGTATTATACATGGTGATCATATCCCCCTTATGTATTATACATGGAGATCATATCCCCCCTTGTGTATTATACATGGAGATCATATCCCTCCCTTTTGTATTATACATGGAGATCATATCCCCCTTATGTATTATACATGGAGATCATATCCCCCCTTATGTATTATACATGGAGATCATATCCCCCTTATGTATTATACATGGAGATCATATCCCCCCTTATGTATTATACATGGAGATCATATCCCCCCTTATGTATTATACATGGAGATCATATCCCCCTTATGTATTATACATGGAGATCATATCCCCTCTTATGTATTATACATGGAGATCATATCCCCCTTATGTATTATACATGGTGATCATATCCCCCTTATGTATTATACATGGAGATCATATCCCCCCTTATGTATTATACATGGAGATCATATCCCCCCTTATGTATTATACATGGAGATCATATCCCCCCTTATGTATTATACATGGAGATCATATCCCCCCCTTATGTATTACACATGGAGATCATATCCCCCTTATGTATTATACATGGTGATCATACCCCCCCTTATGTATTATACATGTTGATCATATCCCCCCCTTAATCTCCTCTTCTCAAGAGAGAATAAATGCAGTTCCTCTAATCTTTCCTCATAGCGGAGCTCCTCCATGCCTCTTATCAGTTTGGTTGTCCTTCTCTGGACTTTTTTCCAGTTCCCCAATGTTCCTTTTGTGAATTGGTGCCTAAAACTGAACTGCATATTCTAGATGAGGTCTTACTAATGATCTGTACAGGGGTAATATGACAACTCTCTCTCTGGAGTCTATTCCCGCCTTTTAATACAAGAGAGGATTTTGCTTGCTTTAAACCCCATCAACTCTTTATTGGTCTCAAATGTCAATCATGTAAACTTGTGACAAAACAAAATGAGCTGCAGGAGATGTATACAAAAATGATTTCTGATCGCTGGTCACCTGACACAAGTTAGAAAACTTACTGGTTGAAATATTAACCCTTTGAGGACCGAGGGACGTATTTGTCCCATGTTTTTAATTGTGTGTATCATCTGATTAAGAACTTAAACTGGTTTTTTTTTTTGGTTTGAGTCAAAATTTTAGTTCTTATCAACAAACAACAAATGGATCTAGCTTTTTGCCAATTATTTCATGAAATGGCTTAGTTACAGCAACTGAAGTGTACGAACTTTAAAAACAAAAAAATTGATTCTTTTGGCATTCCAAAATCTTACGGTCCTCAAAGGGTTAACTCAAGAAACACAGAATTATCTTGTAGGTCTTCCAGAGATTTCCAAAAGGGTCACCAAGTGCATATGATCTCACCCTAGCGCAACCCTAAATGGTCTAGTGTTTGCCTAAAAGCTATGACAGACATTGGATCAGGAATTGGTTGTGGATGATTCATTTTTATGTCTTTCATGCCCGCCAAGCTGGTGTCTTTTCAGAAAAACAAGGTTACCCAATCCAGGTTGCTCATCTTTAATAACAGAATTTCTTATGACAGTCACAGCAGGCAAAACTCATTATCCAGGAAGCCTATTATTAAGCAGCCCCATAGCAGATAAGTGGTAATGGGTGATACCGATTCACTCTTTTCCTGAGCAGCGTTTGAAGATCAGCGAGAAGTAGCTAGGAGTAATAAGAGTTTATCTGGCAAAAAAATAGATACATCACAATCACATTTTAATCTGGAAGCGAGTACCTGACAGAACATTGACTTGATAGTTGTATTCGAGGTCGCTGAGCGGGTTCATTTGTCACGTACAATATTAAATCCATCTATATTGCCTCTTCACTGGAAATGGATATGCCGTCATCTTTGCTGACTGAATGTCGTGCATTTATTTTAAGAAAAAGTATGCAAACAATAAACTTAAAGAGCAATGCTACCAGACAGTTAGCATGAATTAGTGCTTTTGTCTGAAAGTCTGTTCAATTAATCTGAGTTTTACATAAACTATTGAAAGATGTAAAATCCATCGTATGAAGAGGTTACTCAAGTTACGGAAATTCTTGTATGGCAGAATAAAAATTCGGAGGTGATGTAATGTATTCTATTTGTATTGTATTTTCAGACAAAAGCTGTATTTGGTATCATACGAGAAACATTTTCATGCTTGTCCCTTCGAATAATTTCGGACGAAAGCTGTGTACTAACGATTATTGTACAATCGCTTCAAAAGTGGTAT